ACTGGAATTTATGCTCGTTAAGTTATGGATAGAGATGGTTGTTTGAATATTTTCCCTACGAAATTATGTTGAAACTTAATTTTTTTTTCGTTCATGTTGTTTTGTTATGCGAGATTATTGCTAACTTTGATTTAAAATTTTCTAGTGTTTCGGTTAGGTGTTTCAATGCTCATTTAATTTTTGTGTTGTTTATTTTGCTATAGATTTGGAATTTTTTTTGTTGTTTAGTCAGGGGTTTAGATTAATTGTGGTTGTTAAATTAATGTGCAGTCAATCATTGTGTCTCGCTTGTGTGCTAAACTTTACTAGGAATTGAAGGTTTTGTTTGTCGAGATAGTATTTCTGTTGGTTTAGATTAATTGTGGTTGTTAAATGAATTTGCAGTCAATAATTGTGTCTCGGTTGTGTGCTAAACTACTAGGAATTTTGAAGTTTTGGTCGGTCGATATTGTATTTTTATTTCTCGTTGATGCTAGGCTTACATGTGTTGATTTATGTTAGTGCGGGTAGATTATTTAACTGAGTGTCGATGTTGATTTAATTTTTTTTGTTCTGGATTTTAATAAGTAGTTCTGCTTGTTATTTGGTAATAAGTTTTTTTTGTTGGTCAGATAATGGTGTTGAAATTTTTTGCCCATTCGTTTCGAAAACGTGGGGAGAGCTTTTGTCCGCACCTTTTTTCGTCGGTAATCCCCTCCACACGCGATCCGGTCAAGGGCGGGATACTGTTTGTTGATTGGAAATTCTGTTTCTTGGTCACTCCTTTTTCGCAGGGACTCTCCTCCCCGCGGGCAGCAGTTCAGGGGTGGAATTTTTGGATGTCCGATTCTTGGCGCCTTAGGAGGGAACTTCCCCTCACGCCCCTGCTGTCGCAACATGAGATAAGGGACTCAGCAAATTTTTTTTTCCCAAAGGGTTTTCGTTTTTTTTCTCCCCCCCCCTTGTTTCCTGTTTTTACGTTAGGATGCTGGAATGTTGGAAGAAGATTGGGTGTGAATTTTTTTTGTTGTTTCACTACGTGTTTAAGGAGTTAGATAAGTTTGAGTTAGGGATTTCGTGGAATATTTGAGAAAGTTATTTGAAGGAGATAGATAAAGTTTGCACTGATGAATTTGTTGAAGAATTGGGTTTTTTTTTCATGGAGATAGATAAGTTTGTTCAAAGTACGTTTATTCGATAGTTGTTTTTATGGAAATGGATAATTGAGTTGAAAAGAAAGTTATATGGTTTATTTGAGAAAATTGTTTGATGTACAGAAGGATGTTTTGATTTAAGGATTTTGGAACAAGGGAAATTGAGTTGTAATAATTATACGGTATATTTGAGAAGTTGTTTTGATGTAGATAGGGTCATTTGAGTTAATGATTTGGTACGGTTTCGAGTAATTAAGTTGATGAACATAGATAAGTTGAATTAATGATTGTATGGTATATTTAATAATGTTTTGAGATGCATTTAGGAAAGTTCGAGTTGAGGATTATATGAGATTTTTGTAAATAAGTTGATGAGCTAAGATGGGTTTTAATTATTGGTATTGTGGAGAAGTCGATTAATTATTCGGATGTTGCAGATAAGTCTAGTTAGTGTTATTGGGTATGTGAGATTTTGTGTACATAAGCTGATGAGCATAGATGGGTTTGGTTATTGGTATTGCGGAGAAGTCGATTAATTATTTGAAAGTTGAAGATAAGTCTAGTTAGTGTTATTGAGTATGTGAGATTTTTGTAAATAAGTTGATTAGCATAGATGGTTTTAGTTAATGGTATTGTGGAGCAATCGATTGATTATTTGGAAGTTGCAGATAAGTTAAGTTAGTGTTATTGAGGCATAAGATGTGAACGGTCTGAGGTAAAGGCAATTTTTGGATTATGGAGGAATCATTTTAAGGTTACTGAGAATTTTAGGTTGGTGTTATAAAATTATAATTGAGTTATTAATTCGAGGATTTTCGATGAATTCAGTTAGCGGTATTGTTGTAAATCGAAGATCTTTTTTTTTTTTTTCGTGTTTGTATATTTGTTGCGCGTATAGTGAAACATTTTGAGTTTTTTTTTATTATCTAGACTTGATACATTGTATTACATAGAGTGTTAAAAAGTTATGTTGATTAGTTTAGCGATATTTTTTTTATCTTGGAATTTATGTTTAATTATGTGTAACACTTGCAATAATTTTTTTTTAGTTAAATTACTTTACTCTGTATGTGTCGCCTCATATAACTTGAGTTGCATATCAATTTTATGTTTTTAATTTTTTTTCTGAAATTTTCAACTGCACTTGTGATTTCTGGAATTCATTTCTCAAATGGAAATTCGAATGTATTGAATGTGGAAGAAATTTTTTCCTCTCAAATTTAAATTAAAGGCATTAATCGCTTTAGTTAATTTTTTTTACAATCGGATTTGCAAAATTTTTTTTTATCTTAATTTCATTCTGTCTCTTGTGCTGGCGTTTGCGGCATGCAGCAAATCGTTTGCGCAAGGAATGGCATGTATTTTTTTTGTGTTGCATTTGTAAACAGTGGGGGTGCATACTGATCACATGCGCACTCATAGTTTGCAATTCTAAATTTAATTACAGTAATTTTTTTTTCGTAATTTCATTTGTAACCAATGCTCGTAGTGAAGTTTTCTTTTAAAATTCCTTAGGCTACTCAGCATTCTTACAGGTTATAAATTTTTTTTTATCATTTATACGATTCGTTAATTTATAGAATTTTAATTTGCAAATCTTAATTAATTACGTTAATTTTTTTTTATACTTTCATTTGTAACCAATGCTTGTAGTGAATTTTTTAATTTCTTAGGCTATTAAGCATTCTCCGAGGTTATAAATTTTTTTTCTCCACCTATGCACACCCATCGTTTCAATCTCTAATTTTTTTTTTACTTTTACTTAATTATTTTCATGAAATATTGTTATCAAGGCTCTTAGTGAACCATTGCAATTTCTTATGCTTTGAGTATGTGAAGGGTTCTGCTAGTTATTTTTTTTGGTGGTCTGGGACATTCACTTCACATTAGTCGTGTCAAGATTTCGATGTTAAACGATTATGAGGTGTCTGGTTTCTGGGTACCACGCTTGAATTGTATGTAAATGTTTTCACTAGCGTTTATTTCTTATCAATGTATTTTGTTCAATACTCCTAAGTGTTGTTATTGTGAGTTGCGCAGTTGTTAGATACGCAAATTTTGAAATTTTTACGTGTTATTTGTCTTAATTTTTTTTATTATTTAGTGGCACACAATTCTTTGTGATTATTTAATTAATTCTATTTGCAATTCTGTGTTTGATGTTTTTGTAAATTGTTTGGGTGATCCATTCAGTGAATTTTTTTTTCTCTTCGTACATGAACGTAATTGTAGTTGTTGATAGTTAATTTGTTTTCCCTCACGGAATTGGGTAGGAACTTTGGAAATTGCTTATAATTTTTTTTAAATTCTTATTTTATGTTATTAGAGGTAAGAGGAGTTGAAGGTTGGTGCTTGGAGTCTTCGACGGCGGTCACAAAGGGCCAAGTTTAATTTTTTTTTAAATAATTGTGGTTTCATTACTAATATGGTTTCCCTGGGAGACAAAGTTTTTTTTTATTTTTTGCAGTTTAACAGATTTCGTTCGAGATATGGAAGCGCTGATGGAACTGCAGGCATCATGGACGAGTATGGGCAGAACCCGTACAGGATTCAAACAGCACCGGAAGATCAATAGAACGACGAACTATAGTGCTTTCAGTGAGATTACGACGCTCCAGACATTTTTTTTCTCCCATCAGGACGTGGACAGCTGTTCGTGAACCAGGAGTCTGTGAATCAAGAGTCCGTGAAGTGCCTGTTGAAAGGAAGACGAGTCTTTCGCGACTGACTATACAAATTTTTTTTGGACTTTGATATGGACATTTCCTCAATGAGTTTTCTTGTATTGGATGTGCCGACGCTAGGGCAATTTTGTATTTACATTTACTTAACTGAAATTTTTGTGTTTCATTATTTTTAGTTTTATTAATCTGAAAGAGGGGAGGAGTGATGGGAGGTCGCCGGTCCCTAAGGATTGCAACTGTAGTTTTTACATCTGCCCTGTTGTTGTTTACAACAAATGGAATTTGGTGAATGCGCCTCTTACCCCACCGAAAAGGGTGACGCGTTCTCACGCCTGGAAGGGGGTATTGTTCTCATAAATTACATCACGGTATAGGGAGTGTCATTGGGAATTTCCCGCGCTTGGGGGATGTCATTAACCGTGAGAGGATATCCTTCCGCTGACTCTAGACCAATCAGATAAATTGATTGAGTTTCTGTAAATAATCCGCTCCAGAATACAGGAGAAAACTGCCGCGGAATAAAAGGCGGATGCACCCCGAATTGACACTCTCGGAGGCTTTTCTCTCACACCCACTTGGTCTGACACATCCTTCCAATTAGTGGACTCCCGGCAGCGCCATGACTCCTCTCACTCGATCTCTATCAGTTAAGTAAAGTTGTTATGTATCTCTTTAGGCTTTAAAGTAATTTCAATCTTATTGTTTTAAAAAATAAATTAATAATTATTTAAAGAATGTCTTTTGATTTAGCGTACAGTTTATTTGTCTTTAAAAGATCTAATGTTTAAACTTAAGCTATAGTGTGACGCCAACAGAAGAATAGAACCGGGTTTTATTTAAAATGGATCTAACGAAATAAATTAATCAATTTAACTTAAGTTAAACCGGCGTCGCATTAACTAGTTCTACGCTCAAATGCTACCATACTCTCCCTACCCACACAATCACGCACACTTTATGTTGCCCCTTTCACTGCTTTCCTATCCCTCAACATCATACCTATTATCCTTTATTGCATGTATACAATGTTAATGCTTGTAAATGAGTATTTTTGTTTGATTGCATTTGTGTGTTTAATCTGTTAACGTTTAATCTTTAAATTGCCACCCTATATTTTGTAAATGTTCTCCCACATGTCAAATTACTGTTGCTGTTAATATCCTTAGATACTTGTTCAAAAGCCGCCCTACCTGTATGGTGGATATGGTTCTCGGCTTGTAACTGAGTGGGTTCGGGTTTGAATCCCGAGTAAGGCATGGTTGTATCTTCTTCGGGAAAAGAAGTCAGACTTTCACCTGTAATGGATTCCCGTCTAGAATGGAAAGCAGCGCTGATTGCGGTTTTGATTGTTGTGTGTGTACGGCTTATTATGGCATATAAATGTAAACGAACAGAATAAAAAAAGAGAAGAAAGAAATGGTATCTGCGATCTCTTTCTATTGTAGGAAGCTGAGAATGATCAAGCAAGGGAATAACCTGTTGAAGTAATGCATATTAATCATCATAGTGAAAGTAAATATAAGAAAAGCGATGAACATTAAGCGTTTCAGTTGAAAGGAAAATTTTCAAATGCTATCTAAAGAATTCCATCAAGAAAAATATAAAGCCATGAGTGTAGCACAGGGTACACTTCGTTCTGTCAAAAGAGCATAAGCAAGAAAAAGTTTAACATGCTGTTTGTCGATCATCAAAGGGCAAGAAAACTACAATAACTTGAACAACATATGATAGTTTTGTCTGCAAATAACATTCCTGTAATGTTAGCCAGAAAACGTTTTAAACTAGCCAAGAAATAAATTACAATATAAATCGTCTGCTAAAAAATATTTGGCATGTAAGAATTATATTATCGAAATATTAATACATATAAATTATTAATTAATTAATAATCAATTAATGAATAATTAATAAGCAAATAACAATTATTTCATTTTCATTTTATTTTTAAATACGCAATAAATGTTTTCCATTTTAAATTAAATCAGTTGCCAAGAAGAAAAGTCAGAGTTAGATTTCATCTACACCGAAAACAACAGTTATAAATGTTTTTAAAAATGATTGTCGTTTGAAGAAAGGTCCGGTGAATAAGCTAGGTGCTAAAAAATTTCGTATTTTAATACATTTGATTTACCAATTGTTTTGTACGACGTATGCAACCGGTTGTGTACTGTCAATTAACACAAGTGATGTGCATATAATCAATCAATTCTTCATACTTGTCATCAACGTACTCACAATATATATACAGATGGACTCGTTTCCGCAAATGATTTCAGAGCACCATTTTTCTCAGATATTTTAGACCTTCCATGTGGCTAATTTTGAGGGATCGAAATTTTTCATATCGACAGTACACTTTCCGGATCTCGATATATTTAACAGTGGTCAAGTGACGAGGATGACACCTAAGCTGGCAACCTTTCTCCAAGCTTCTACATAATGCTAGTGGGAGAATTTTGAGTCTCAACAGTTTTAACTTGCATTAGTACCTCTACACTACAGTTCTTCAGTGGCAATAGACTCGAACTTATGAGTCCAGCCATGAGTCTAAGACCATGACCTCTAGAACAGTAGGTCGTCAGCAGCCACTAAATATTGGTTAAATTTATATTCTTACGAAGTTTAAACCTTTATCTACCGCATGATGTTCTGCAGTTTTTTTCATGCAATATTTTTTTTTGAATCATTACATTGAAAATTAAAGGATATACATGAACAAAATACTCAACTTTAGAAAATTTAATTAGTTAGAGATAATTAAAAATATTCAACTGTAAAATTAGTTACACGCAATGTCCAGTTAAATCAAATATTCAAATCGTGTTCTAAGGTCTTCATTAACATACCAAAAAAATAAGAATCTTACCTTTTGACATTAATTATTTTTTCGGAACAAAAATGTCAATCTTCGCAATCCGCTGAAAATGCAATTTCTGCTATAAAACTATTCGCCTTCTCCATTAAAATACTCATCATAGAACTCGTGCTGCCATATATCTTGGAAAAGTGGATTTCAAAGAATATTCCTGCTAAGTATCATCAGAGTATTCGTAAAAATGATTATTCTATGTAATTTTAAAGTGAGTGGTACTTATAAGTACCGTCGGTATATAAAGGGTTAAGACGAATTACGAAGGGGAATACTTGAGAAAATCTTCGTTGTTAAAATGCGATTCTGGCAATGGTCGATACGACTATAAGCGAGGTTATGCCAAAAACAAAAGCAAAATGAAAACAGGAAGGTTCACATGTAAAAAAAAGACTCACGTTACATATACACCAACCTAATATCTCCTATAAGAAAAATTTCATTTTCTTGTTACACTTATAACTCACAACTCAAAGGTAAGTCAAGAGTCTCTCGTATTAGTAACTAAGATTAATAATACATTTCTATTCCAGAATTTTAGTTCATATCATTTTGTTCTCTTTAATGATCTAACTTTTCTGCTACTCGTGCTTAGGAATCTCCTTTACAGAAAACCCTTGCTGTTTTCTGTAACGGAGATTGCCTAAGCAGGAGATTCCCTCGGTGCCTTCGTTATTAATCTGATCCGCGGCGTGAAATTGGTTGCATCTTAGTCCGCTTGGTGAGAAACCCATCTGCATTTAGTTCTTATATTGCATGGAGGCAACAAGATTACAGTGGGATTTCGCGTATTCCTGGCCGTACGAGTAAATCATGGGTCAAAAGAACTAAAACAAACGGGCGTCTTTGAAAGGTACTGAATATGGTTTTATTATTAGATACGATATGATTTTCAAAATGTCAGCATGAAAGCCTAAATCAAGGGTACTCAAAACTTTTTTTCTGCTGGGCCACATACGTATGATAGTTATTTCACGCAGGCTGCAACATGAGGATAAATGGGGAAGGGGGAGGGGGAGAAATGCTTTAGACCCAAGAGATAACATTGGAAATTTAAAATATGGAAACTTGATCAAAATATTTTATAACTCCTGTTTTTTTTAATTATTATTTTTTTATATTTTTTTACTAACACTAAATTAGAAGTATTTAAGAAACACTTCTCTCTCTCTCTCTCACACAATTTCTGCATTAGTAAACGGTTTCATATGATTACCAATACTATAACAAATTTTATAGGATGTCTTTGTTACCGCTGTCATATTACCAGTGACAAAACACTTTGTTGCTGTTGCAAAGATTTTTCAAGAAAAAGTCTATTTATCACCTCTTGAAAGAGCTCTTCGAGGAAAAGTGTCATTGAATGATTCCTGTTTATTGGTATTGTTTTTAAATATAGCACTTTTGTGACAAAGCAAACACTTACTGATCCATATTTGATTTTCACTACAAAATAGTCAACCTCAAAATCGTCTTGAAGCGACGAATTTTCTTCGTATACTTTTCGCTTGCAAGATATGAAAGATAATTAAAAATTAGTTCCACACATAAACTTGTCGCTACTACACTGTTGTCTGTTATCACTAACCGCAACCCTTCCAAATAGAAATTTAATACTTCTATTCGTACCCATATGACACAGACAGAAAAAAAACAAAATTTATATATTTGATTCCTTGACAAATGGAATGCTTTTATACAATGTTCTTAAATATGTGAATTTCTCAAAACAATGGGCCATGGCTGGGCCACTTAAAAAAGCTTGGTGAGCAGCAGGTTGAGTATCGCTGGCCTAAATAGTTAATTGATTTTAATAGAGAAAAAAGTGCTGTGATTCCAAATAGTGATGCTTGTTGATGTTGCCTGAAGGCAGTTGACGATAAACTTCCTGATTTTAAACCAAGACGCTTTGATTTATTATTAAATTCGTACTTTACTCTTTTAACGCACACATAAATTGATCTCCTCGAGGCTCAATTTTATTTTATGTTTCCCTCACGCGTGCCACATATAGATCTTTATAGGATCTAGTACTGGAACTTACAACTCGTCTTGAATACCAATAACTACGAACTATTAAATGGTTGAAAAATGACAAAACCTCAAATAATATGTCCCTTTAGCGGTGTAACGTTTTCCCTTGCCTCAGCTTTATAAAATGGCTTCTTTGTGCAGATAAAGTTACTTCTGCTATAGCTACGAATGATTCATAAGATATGACAGAATTTCTTCTTCAGATTACACAAATCTTAAAGAGCTAAGTGCTTTCGGAAAAACCTTTCCATCACGTTACTCTGACACCCACAATATCCATAAACTTCAAATAACTTCACTCGATACAGAAGTCGAACCTCAAGTGAAATAAATGAAAAGTTAAAAAGAAATGCCGCCCAGTGAGTGAGTGATTTTGAGGTTTTATGGCGCAAGAGCTGAATTCGGCCATACTGCGCCAAACATTTGTTAAAAAAAACCCATTTTAAAAATATACATGAACAATACAAATTACATATAAATAAAAATTATGTATGTGCATGCTTGCATGGACATATATAAAATGAAAGTTAAAGTTAAAACATTTTAAAAAGTCAAATTAAATATAAATATCCAATTTTCTTTATAAAAGCAAATAGGTTTTGGTGGGGTATTTCTCCCACCAAGTCAGACAAGTTGTTTAAAAAATGAACAATTGAAAAAAGTGAATTGAAAACAATGTTACAGCATTTAACGTTTTAAAAAAATTTACTTCCTGCTTTTTCTGAATCATGTTGGAGTCAAGGAGCGTATATTTCCCCTAGGAAAATTTGAAGGACTTTCATTTAAAACAAATTTATCCGTAGGGTCTGATTCAAGTTCCTCCTCCACGTCATACATAAGCATATCTTCGTCGTCTGTTGTATATTCTGTAGGTCTTGACTTTCCGGGTTTATGTTTAGCCATTTTTATTTCTATTTCTGCTTTTTGTGCTTTTGTGCGTTTTATTCTATTTTTTTAAATTCTTTTTAACATTCTGTGGGACTTTAGATGTATTAGAAAGTTCGCTATTGGGTGTAGTAGTTGAAGACTCTGATAACGGAACTGATGGTTGAAGTGCGGCAAATTTATTAGAAATTGTAGGAACTGGGCACGTTTCAGCTGATAAGGATGAGGCAGAGGTATTCAGGCTAATGTCAGGGGCAGCAGAAGAAGAAATGGGTTCAGGTAATCGAGATTCAATTTGTGTGGTTGGTTTTATTGAAGATGTGGAGGGCAAGATGTTTGTCTGAGTGGTAGACGACGATGTGAAAACTGAAGGAATTGAAGGAGATGCATTTGACTGAGGTACGGATGATAGAGATGGAAGTAATTGTAAAGGTGGGCATTTTATTTTTGTTGTATTTAAATCTGTTT